ATGACGTGGGTCAACCGGCGGTGAAGAGGGATTGTATTGATCGATCAAGGTCAACTAATAAGGTGAGTGTAAAGGGGGCAAAATCTCCGTCGAGGTCTTTAGTTTATGTTTTTCATTTCAAGTTTTGTTAGTTAATTTTTGAGTATGCGCGATTATGTGTGCGAGGCATCCCACCGCCTACTTAAGCTGGAGGAACTTGTTGTGCTATGTATGTGAATGTGTGTGTTGATGTACGGTTATTGGTAAAATGAACACCCGGGCAGTTGGGCCACTATTGGATCTGGTAGATAGTCGAGTCACTACTGGACGACGATACGTAACGCAGTAGTTGACCGGACAGGGACTGAATGGCGATACATATAGTATCATTCCATTGAGGATAAGGGATGACGATACGTAACGAGGTGAATCCTAGTAATAAGTATATAAGTTAAGATAGAACTAGAGAACTTCTATAAGCCATTAAGGACTAAAGTATTAAAGATGAAAGCAAGAACGAATTTCATGTAAGAGGAAGTAATTTCTAATAACGTGTTTTAGTAAGGAGTTTTATTTAAGGCAAAGACCTTAGGAAGTAACGACGAGAGTAACCCCTTCTCACTCACTAGGTTTAGGAAGGGTTAGCAAAGGTGGATCCCGAGAAGAGGCAGGGTGAGGCGAGCTGTTGTACCCCCTTCTCACTCACTAGGTTTAGGAAGGGTTAGCAGAGGTGGATCCCGAGAAGAGGCAGGGTGAGGCGAGCTGTCGTACCAGCATGGACGAGGTCTCAGGGACCTCAGCAAGGAGTTAGAACTAGAGTTAGTTTAATTTTTTTGTTCATGATTATGGGTATATGTACTGAAGATTCAAGGTTCAAGATTCTGGGCTAAGTTGTTTTAAGGGGTTGATTTGTGATTGCCCAAGTGTTTAAGGCTTTTCGTTTTAAATTCGTGAATATTGTTAGTTTATTATTTTTTTTTTAAAACTGGTTTGGGTTGCTCTGGAGTAACCTGTTTTTGGTTTAAGTTATGGTTTGGTTTTCGAAAAAGTTTGGGATGTTTCACTGACGAATGGTACCGTGAAATTTATCAAACCATGCGCGAGGCGCTTGTTTCAACCCATATAGCGATCGAATGAAGTTGCACACCATCATCGAATCTCCGTTCTCATACCCAGGTGGACGTTCCATATAGATTCTCCTTCAATTCACCGTGAAGAAAGGCATTCTTCACGTCAAGTTGCAGTAGAGCCCATCCACACATCGTAGCAACTGCAAACACACACCGAACGGTCTACATCTTCACAATCGGCGCAAAAGTTTCATCGTAGTCAATGCCATACTCTTACTTAAATCCTTGAGTTGCAACTCTTGATTTGAAACATTTGATATTCCCATCGGGATTCATTTTCACAGTATATATCCACCTGCTCCCAATGACTGACATCCAATCCTGTCGAGACACCAGCTCCCAAGTTCCATTATCTTCCAACTCGTACACTTCAAATTTCATCGAAGCATTCCATCGGGGGTCTTATGAAACCTCACAGTAGCGAGTGGGAATGATGATAGGATCAACCGAAAACCCCACAAAATCCTGCATGCGAGCTGGCGGTTTGCCTAATGTCGCCCGATTGGATCGATGCAAAGGGACAAGAGAAATAGGCGAACTCATTACCCACCACAAACGATCCCATTGAATCATCCCCTAGAGACGAGCTAGACGCAGAAGGCAAACGGGAGGCAGAAGACGAGTTGGATGCTGATGAAGAGCTACCTGGTGATGTGAAGTCGCTGGAAGAGCTACCACTCAACGAACTAGTGGCCTAAGAACCCCCTGGTGAGGATGGACCACTATCCAAATTGAACCCAGCAGGAGCAGTCCCGTCGTTCGGCAAAGTGGAGGGCCGCACCGGCTCAAAAACGGGCAGATAGGTCAGAAATACAAGTGAAGCGACGTGCTAGCATTTACATGAGTAACCCCATAGTACATTTATTTCTCTAGAAACTTGACATGATGGTAATACGCATACGACGACCAACGAGATCGTAGCATATATACCCTTGTGCTTGTCGTTGTAGCTGAGAAACACATTGTATACTACCTTAGGAGCTAGTTTGTGACATTCTTTCCGCTGGAGCTAAACAAAGCAAGTACACCCAAAGACCTGGAGAAATGAATAATCTGGAGACTTCAAGTACAATAGCTTATATGAAGACCGTTGGCCCAGAATTGACGTGATTTGACGATTAATCAGTTACATGATTGTGTGAACAGCCTCGTCCCATCAGCTGATAGGAACGCGAGAGTAAAATAGAATGGCACGTGTGAGCTCTAACACGTGACGATTCTTACCTTCCACCATGACGTTTTGTTGGGACACACCAGGACAGGACTGTTGCGGCAGAATACCCTCTGTCTTGAAGATCTTAAAGAGTTCATTAGAAGAAAACTCCCCTCAGAATCATACCTGAGCACCTTGATCGTCTTACGAAACTGTGTCTTAATCATAGCGATGAACTCACGAGCTAGAGAAGTCAACTCAGAATTTTGCTTCAGAAAGTATACCCATGTAAACCGAGTAGTGCGATCAATAAACAAAACAAAATATATGTACCCAAGTCGAGAGAGTACAGGAGACGACCCCAGAGATCTGTATGAATCAAATCAAATGGTTCTGCATATTTTGTATCATTGGAAGAGAAAGACGCATGCAAGGCTTTGGCCTCGATACAACTCACACAATCAAAAATTCCATCAAACTTCAACAGGTTCAACTTATCTAGTAACAAATTCTGTTTAAACATAACCTTCAGCCTCTCATAATGAGGATGACCAAGCCTACTATGCTACAAATCCCATAACAAATTGCGAACAGAAATATCCAAACTAAAAGCCAAAAAATCACTACCCAAAGTCTTAGACATAAATCTCCCTCCTCTATGCGTGCAAGAGAACCCGGCAAGGCGACACCCTCACTGCTGGTCGACGTGGTAGTCACCCAGGCACCTTTCACATCTCGCCCAGACAAAGCATCCAGCACAAATGTCCGTCCATGCTTACTGCCTCTCCTGATCACCCTCCCCGACTTCTGCTCCTGCACAACACAACCAGTAGTCAGTAGAGTCAAACTTGACACTACATCCTTCATCAGCCAATTGTCCCACCAAGATCAGATTAGATGCAACTTAGGAACATATAAAGTTTCGGGAAGATTGATCAAGGCCATATGAGCGATTCCCAACCCACAAACCAGAATCTGCGCATTCGCCACTTGCAGACTCATTGGCGAAAAAGGATGTAAAAAAGTGAATTATGTACGATTTGGAGTCATATGGTTAAACACTGCGGAGTCTAAAAGCCAACGCAAAGACTTACCAGACAAAGTACCCATAGCAAATGCGAAAGAAAGTGCAGCCAGTAATGCCTCATGAACCATGCGCTGGATCTGCTCTCCCGACAGGGGAGCTGTAGTGCCTGAACCAGCAGGGACAGCAGCCGAAGTCGAGCCAAGTGTGACCGGAGAAGCAGTGTCGTGAGGTGAGGATGCACTCTCTGGAGCTGGACGCAGACGTCCCTTCATGCTCAACATCGGGCAGGCTAACACAATGTGACTTGTCCACTTACAGTAATTACAATAGTTCTGCTTCTTGCAGTGCATTTGGATGTGGCCAGACTCTCTACAATAGTGACAAATGACATCTCTTGAGCTGGGAGGGACAAACTGCGATCGAGATGTCGCGGCGAGGCGGCCAACAACAAAGATCGAACGGTGAAGGTAGCATAATTATCTAGCTTGGACTGACCCTTAAGGCGCATCTCCTCCCTCATAAGCTCAGCCACGACATCATCAGTACTTGTGACACCCCGATGGATCAATGAGGCCCGAATGGGCTCATATTCAGTACAAAGTTTAGCCAAAAACTGAAGAACACGTGTACGAGCACGCTCCACAATCATCGCCCCGTATGCTGCATCGGGAACCAAAGATGTAGTCAAGAGATCATACTCAGTCCATAGATGGAGACAGGCCTAAGAATAATCTCAAATATCCTTATCGCCCTGTGCCAGACGAGTAATCACAGTCTCCAACTCGAACTGCCGAGACGTAGTATTCTGAGCATATGAACGACATATGTGTGTCCACATATCATGCGCCTTTGTGAATCAACGTAAGCTAAGTGCGGTGGGAATATCAACACAACCATCCAGCCATGTGATAAGTTGGGCATTAGCCGCTCTCCAATCTTCCACATCCTTTGTCACCGCATCAGCAGCTGGCTCCTTGAGCTCACCAGTCAACACGGGAAGAAGACGCTTCCAGGCTACAAAATTCCAGAATTGGAATTCCCATATGGCAAAGTTAGTGCCATCAAACCTGATCACCAAATCCATGAGAGAAGTATCCATGGAGCCAGTCAGCCAAACACCCCCAAAATTACAGGAGAGACAAGCGGTCGGCAAACCCACTAGCTACGGCGGACGCCCAGCTAGCAACAAACCAAGAAAAAGAGGACAACAAATCCCAAACACAATCCACGTTGCAAGAAGACCAAACCGAGAATGCCAAACCCACACTGCCACGGAGGAAGCCGAACGCAGCCAACAGCCAAACACAATCTCACGCTGCAAGAAGACCAAACCAAGACTGCCAAACTCACGCTGCCACAGAGAAAGCCGAACACAAAATTAACATCCAAAAACAATGCAACCAAAAACAAAACCCTACGCAGCCAAATCAACAATCCGCCGAACGGAAACAAACGAAGAGAAGAACCAACCTGTTATTGCATAGGCTCTGATACCATGTTACATAGTACGAATGTAGAAGAGACAACACCGAATTTAACGTGGTATCCCAAACTTTTACTGTTGCAGCAGTTTTACCATTATACTATCTTACATTTGGTTGGTATGAGTGATGATAGCATGGCTGATCATTAATTTTTCAAAATGATAAGGGCTCCCTCCTTTTGTAAATCTGTAATAAAATGTGGTCAATCTTCAAAATAAAAAAATAATAATAACATAATATTTGTATTGGCTGAGCAACGACTTCGAGATGTAATTGTATCAATTAACACAGCAAAACAAATGAAAGGAAACGTATATTATACAGTCGTACACGGTGCCCAATAAATCCCATGCAATAATGAACCAAATACTGTACAACAAAATAATAGATAAAAAAAAAATGATGACAGCGACACATGCAGATTTATCCTCCATCCATCCACCCACCCACCCATCAATGTGATGGAGATGGAAAAAAGAAAAGCTTGCGAATTCAGGAAGGGGATTGAGAATTGAAACAACAACGAACATCATCCTCATCATCATCAAGCTTTGCCTTCGGCTCTGGCATAAGTAAAACCCGCGCAGGCATCCACAAAATCCTCGTCGATGAAATCCGTGGACAGAATCTGCAGCCGATCCCCCCACCCCTTCGCCACCGCCTGGTTGATAAACAGCCGAGCGTAGGAGTGGATCCGGCTCGTCACGGGCTTCACGCACACGATCGGGTTGTCGGGCTGCGGCGTCACCGTGTTCTCCACCCGGTAGAAAAACCTCCTCCCCGCGGCCGCCCCCTGCTGGCTCAGAAACTTGAGATTGCTCTCGAATTTCGTCGACGGCAGGTCCGTGTCGATCCAATTGTCCTTCAAATACCCGGGCCCCCACAAAGCCCCGCCGGGCTTCGGCGCCTCCGACTTCCTCGGCTTCCACACGCAGATCACCCGCCTCGGGAGCAGCTCCGCCACCGTCTTGCCGAAAACGGCGTCGTCCTGGTGGATCAGGTGCTCCCCGAGCTGCTCCTCCAGGTACCTGTCGAACTCGGGCGGGTCGTCGTGCCCGAACTCGGTCCGGACCTCGAGGAGGATGACCTCGGACTGTGTCTCGGAGAGGAATTTCTTGACGTCAGCGATGACGACGTCGACGGAGTAGGTTTTCAAGATGCCGTGGCAGATGAGGCGGTCCTGGTTGACGCGGATGTCGAGGACGCGGGCGCCGCGGCAGAGCTGGCGGTAGATGGAGAGGGACTGGCACTGGGCGAAAGGGCGGGTGACGAAAGGGATGCCGATCTTGTTGGTGGCGGAGTCGTGGGTTCCGGGCCACACGATCTGGTGGATCCGGATCTTGTCGGGTCCGATTCCGGACATCCAATTCTGGCGGTCGGCGGGGCGGTAGTCGGAGCCGGGGAAGTCGGTGCCGCAGCTTCCCTGGAGGTCGCAGAGGGTTTGTTTCTCGGTGGAGATGGCCTTCCGACGGGCGATCTGCTTGGATGCCTGCGCCCCCATTGTAAGGTACGGTGTGGACTCTTCTGGGTAGCGCAGAAATGGGATGGATGGATGTTGTTTGGGGATAGGAAATATAGACAGACAGAGCAGAGGAGTGTGTGTTTTGGGTATTAATGGAGTTATTATTGGGGCGTAGGTGGCACGGAGTAGTGGATGATTATTGCTAAGAAGGGAGAGCTGTTTTTTGGCTGTGCTTCGGAGACAGACAATGGAATGGATGAATCGATGATTGTGATGAGGGTCTGTTTGGTGGGTGTGGTTTGTGGTGTGAATTCATCATGATTTGTGATTTTTATTTGGGTTAGGTTGGTTGGGTGTTTGATAACAATAATAATAGTAACAATAATAATAATAATAATAATAATAATAATAATAATAATAATATTGAGTTGTTGTGTATGGTAGGTCGTGGGTGGGGTTTGTTTGTTTACATTGGTGTGGTGGCTGAGTGGAATGAGAGGATGTCCAAAAATCTTGGTTGAAGCTTTTGGTTTGTTTGCAGGATGTAAAATTGTGGTGGTGGGGTGTTTGATGAAGTGATGATATTAGAAGAAATGGCTGTTTGTGTTGATGTATGATTATTAGTTTCGTGTGCAGGAAACAGGGTTGCGGAAATTTTTAGTGTTGTTGGTAAGAAGACTGGTGATTAAGATCTCGATCCAGTTTAAAATTTGTTTGATTATTTATTTTTGGGTTATGATGAAGGCCAAGCTATTACACAAATGTCTCAAATCTTCTTATTTGATTAGGGTCGTCAGCTAGATTATTAGTAAAATTGGTGCATTTAATGTGAACTCGATGTTCCCACTTCCAAATAATATGAAAAAAAGAAGACAAATGTACTCATGTACAGATTACAGCTTTGGATTTGCTCCAACCGGGAAGGATGAGACAGCACTAGACCACTCGGCATCTCATGATTGGTGCAGACAATTGACATCCTATCGATTGATAATTTTGATGTCCTTCTTAGCCGCACAAAAACAGAATCATTTTTCTCAATCGGAGGAAAAAAAAAAAATCTTCTAAAAGGTTACTTGGCTACACTGAACATTCATTTTAATCTGGTAAGTGGTAACTGATAAACCAAACTCCTGAAGTTTACAGCCAGGTATCTATGAGCAACATAAAACCCATGAGACCGACCTATTGATACAATGGGAATTCTTATGGGAAATCCACTTCTATGGACATTTCAAACTTGATTAAGATGGCTGCTTATCTTAATGAACATATCAGCATGCTGCTCTTGAATGGAAACTCCAAGGGCGTCCTTCATCTAGGTAAGTCCCTTGCTCTACAGAATCTCTGCCTCATAATTTCCTCCAACTTATGGATCACCGAAGAGAACATTCCTGCAAGTGATCAACCCAGAAACAACATCAGCCTCCCAAGTAATGCATATCAAAGCGTTTTTTTTTTCTTTTTCTTCTAATCATGCTGTCATGTTCATGTTCATATTCAGATTTGTAACCACAATGGAAGTTGGAGACCTGAAAATGGACAATCTTTGTTTTGTAGTGATGCTTTCACCAACAAGGTGCCTGGCTGCTGCTGGAAAATCTGCAAGAGGAACAACTCAAGTTGCTGACTTTTATTGAATAATACACAAGTTATAGTCAGGCACTCAGGCTAAGCAAGGAAGCGAACATACTGAAATTTGAAAACTCATATTGTCTGAAGCCTTCTCCACCGGTTTGCTCTCCATCGGTTTTTCAATGCACTTTGCATCATACTCCATGAGGTCTTCACAGTGAAGCCTTGGTGCAGTGATCTAGTAAATTAGAGTGTACTGCAAGTAAGTCCCAAGAAACATTACAACCACTAAAACAGATTACGACATCGGTTAAACTGAGAGATTCAGTTCTTACATCAACAGTAAATGACGAGGCATTCAATTTACAGGATGCACCGTTGGTCTGAAATAACGGCTCGATTGATTGTAATATATGCATGGCACTGAATTGGCGACCAACCCTCTGGGAGACAGTAGAATCAAACCATATAAGTAGGAAACACTCAAAAAGGCCACAGGTAGAAAGCAACAGCCATCCAAACCTCAAGCATGAAGCTAATATTGGTTCTCTGGACTGCAGCAGGCGGTAATATCTTCTTAGTTGGTGGCAGAAAAGACCAAGCCAATCCCCATCTACACGTTTGGCCTTGTACAAACTCGGTAGTCTTCACTATGGTCACTCCAACATCCCGCAGCTTTGAAGTTAGGAACTTGAGGTTTATTTTCCTGCCAATCATTGAAGTGTACCACCTAAAAAGGTAAAGCATGAATGAAGCCATTACTTTAACCAGTAAAGTGATAAAGAAAGGTATGTATATTCAAAGAATACTGACCTAAACGAGTCCTTCAAGACAACACTATCTTCAATCATACGAGTAATGAAAGCTTGTTCTCCACCAGGGCAGACCATCTCCTCGGGAGTACCTCCGCAAGAAGTTTTTGGATTAAGTCCTGCTTCCTCAGTGCTCTCAAAGAAAGGAGGATTGCACATGCAGAAATCAAACTTCTCACCCTCTCTGACTACCCCAAGAAGTATAGGCGGCCCACAATAACGGCCACCTGCAACCTCACTGCTTTCATGATCTACTGCAAGAGCATCAGACAACTCTTGAGCAGGCAGCTCAACTCCATGGACTGTAACCTTTCTAATCTCAATAAGTTGGGACACGTGTGGATTTTTGTTGACGTTTCTCTCTGCCCACTCTAATGCAACATCAGTAATATCTGCAACCAAGTACAGGGATACAAAAAGGCTGTAAGTTACTAATGATTCACACACAAAACTGAAGCTTGATAAGGATAATACTAGCACTAAGAAGATCAAGTGACCTGAACCGACGAAACTCCATCCCAGAAGGGAGGAGCCAAGCAGTGGGTAAATGCAGTTTGCTCCGGTGCCTATATCAAACCCTCTAACTAAATCTCCAAGAGTCTGATTTTTTGGAATGATCTCAGAAGACAGAAGATCTTCAATCCAATGAATGTAGTTTGATCTGTTGGGCACAGTGGGGCATAGCTGCCCATCAGGGATCCACCTACACATTATTCCCACACCACAAACAAACCTCAACAGAATCAAGTTCAGATTTCAAGTAGCCTTAAACATCAACCATAGGAAAAGAAAATAAGCCTAGAGTTTCAGTTTGTCTGAGCTCAAATAAGATTATCAGAAGCCACAAATTTCTGAAAACAAGGATTTAATCAATTGGCAATTCGTTGAATTTTTACTCAAAAGGCTGCCAAACTGCATTATTATGAACTCAAAGGGGATCAAAGTTCGGAACTTGAATTGGCTAAATTCATCCAATTTCTAAACCTCGGGAAAGGATTTCACCAATTCAGCTGAGCGAACAAGCTAAAGGCAGAATCTTTGAGGTTTAATAACACTTGGTGAATCATCTGCTTACCAATTGAGGCTGTGGTCGTGGAGGAGCAAGACACGGGTAAGCTCCCTAGTGGCGTTGAAGTCGGTCCAGTCGATTCTAGGGTGACCGTCGCGTGAGTAGAAAACGAAAGGCTCGAAAGAAGGGTAGAGAGACGCCAGGAGAGCGAAGTCCGGAGGACTGTCGGCGTACTTGTTTCGCGGGTGAATCGTTGGTCGCTCCGGTCTCTTCCGCTTGTTATTCTTGCTTGGCATTTTCCCGAAATTGTCAGGAACCGGCCGTCGATGAAAGTTATATTTTGGAAACCGACAAATGCGACGGCGGCGGGTAGGATATGCTACCGGCAAGGAAGCCCAGAACTTTGTCCCGGTGGGTTTGAAAGTGGACCCAAATAATTGGGCTTGGGCTAATGTTTGTCCTTTAGCGAGAAGCTAGGACGCTAATTCCATAGTCCATAGGGTTTTAGCACCGTCCGAATTATAATATTAACCGTTCATTTCAAATTTAAATTTTATGGTTACGAAACTAATAAGGGTAAATTAAGAAGAGGTTACATTAACTATTAATTTCTGACTTTTATTTTTGACGTTTTGTGATAGAGGGCGGATTTGGTGGGATTGGTTTTTTTTCTTTTTTGGGATTTTAATGGATGTGGTTACAAGTTTTTCTCAACAACGTCTCTCTCCCTCTCCCTTCTCTCCATCGCGTATCTCTATCTTCGCAGAGTAAAATACTACATTTTTTGGAAAACACTACTAACTTTTTTCTTCAGGTATGTAGTAGTAATTTGGTGTGCAGTATTGATTTTATGATATATTAGTAGTGATTTTGATAATTTTTTAGTAGAATCAATATTACTATATAGTTTTTTGTCAATAATAATAAATCACTATTAATACAAAATCAGAAACACTGCTATATCATATCCGTAAATGCGGGATCCATAAATTTATTGTTATGGAATGATTGCCTACTACGATCATATCTATAAAATCACTATAATACTATTACAAATCCACTACTACCGAGAATCCTCCACTGTCTACATCTTTCATCAAATGTAATCTCTTCTCTTGCACTCCTTATGATTTCATTAGTCCACAGCTGCAAACAAAAACAAAACTAAAAACAATCGGTACCATTTCCACCTTTTAAAACAATATAAGTGTAAACAATTGCAGCGATGACTAGAGCATCGATTACTAGGGAATCGAACTGCTTAGAAATAAGAAGTACAGTGGAGATCGGAGAAGATAAGGGGGAATTGGAGGAGGAATGGGATTAGGAGCGTGGAGGGCAGCGTCGTCAAGGGCAGAGCAGGCGAACCCAGTCTCGACGAATGAAACTAGCGAGGGACGCTTCAACGACAGGAAGGACTACGGGAATCAGCTGGATTTCTACACTCCGATGGAGGGGGAAGAAGAAAAAAAACTTATGTAAAAGAAGATTGCTTGACTGTTGGGATATCCCCAACACAAAACTGCACACTTTTCACCTGGCTGAGATCACAACATTAACATCATAAAATAAATCCAACTTACTAAAATGTCCCTGACAATAAAACACTCTTAAATTGGCCGAAATTAAAAAGGAAGGCGGTTAGGCTGGTTATGACGGTGCTAACGGGGTAGATGTTTAGCAACCCATCCAATCCGTTATTCTTTAAGATGTTCCTGGATGACTGTTGAGAGTAAGGTTGTCAACCCGCGGGTCGACCCACTTTGACCCTGACCCGATGAGAAAAACGGGCCGCACGCACCCGCCGGGTCGACCGCCACAAGGTACTGGGTTGGAGGTCAAATTGTGTAATTTTTTTCTTTGTTTTGCAAAATGCGCCTATTTTCTGATTTTTCTTTTCGCCTAACTCAATCTTTGGAATCCTAAGTTGAACATTTGAATATTAATGTTATATAAGTGTGTGTGAATTTTCACTATATGTTGAATCTAAGTACGAAATGTTACTTTGGTGTAATATTATATGTTATAACTCATATGTTAGATGAGATTTGATATAATTTATCAGGATAAGTACAATATAATGACGCTTTCCATATTTCCGGGCTAAACCGAGCTAAAACGGGTTACCCATTAACCCTTGACCCACTAGCTCAATTGGGTCCGGGTCAACCCGCGGGTTGACAACCTTGGTTGAGACTCAAACCCATATCTCTGTCAGCTTGATTGCACAGTTTGTATCTCTTCCTTGTTTGTGTGGATTTTTTTGAAAAATACATTTGTTTAAGAAAATCTCAAAATATAATAATTTTATTTACTTTTCCAATCTACACTTGCATTGATCGCTTAGATCAAAAGCAATCTGATTATTGATCGTTGTTAACGAAACCGGTCCATATATTAATCGCTATTAGGAGAAACGATTTGTATAACTCGTCCTCCACCTTGCGCTTCTCCTCCTTCGCCACCAAATCTTACTCATCGTCTTCACCACCCCCATCAATAGCCCTTTTATCTTCACCTAACGACTGTTTTTTAGTAACTTGTGTACTTAGGGAAAATTATGTTTGCAAGACAAAAATCACTGATTTTAAATCAGTTCTACTTTTTGTTTCCATTGACAAATAACTACGATGTTATCTCTTACAATTATTGATGCTTGAGATGTAACCAAGGTTGTCAATCTGTGGGATCACCCATTTTGATCCTAATCCGGTGAGAAAAATGAGTGCGACACGTCAACGAGTTAATCTGTAACAAGATTCTCGTGTTGGAGGTCATGCATCGGTTTGTTCTTTTGATTTGCAAAATTCATATCTTTTGGACTTTTCCCTTCGCCACCTTATATTCGAATATCTAAGTTGAACATTTGAATATTGATGTGATAGGAGGATGTTTGAAATTTCATTATATGTTGGATCCAAGTACGACCTGTTATTTTGGTGTAATATTATATATTATCACCCATATATTTGATATAATTTACAAATGTATAAACTATAAACAATATAATAACTTATTTCGTATATCCCGGTTAAACCAAATTAAAGTGACCAACCATTAACACTCAAGTCACTTGCTCGATTGCCCAACAGTTTTAACAACGATTTTGCTAAAATGTCTAGGAATCGCCAAACATTTATATAGTGCAGAATTATACACGGACATGTCTCATGACAGCCAACTTTAATCAGTTGAGTGCACCATTCAAAATCAAGATAGAACACGTACCCATTGAGATCTTGGCACATTGGCCAACTTTAGTCAGTTATCAGTCGAACTTATTCAAGTCCCTTTTTCTTTCCCACGAAGAACAAAAGACAATTCATGTGGGCATGTGGCTAATCAATAATTAGAAGAAAGACGAAAACAAGACATCAAGCTGGTAATTAGGCAAAAAGGGAACCACACGAATTGAACTCTCTATTGTAAATGGAACGGGAAAGAAAGTGACAAGTCCCAAGTAGCGTATAATGTAACTTCAACTTTACTCCCCAACAAACATTATATATGCAAATAGAGAATGCATTCCATTGGAGTCCAAATGCAATTGGGGCCATATTCGGCAAAAGGGGAAATTGGGTGAGAGCTTCACATCCCTTGCTCTCAAAGCTGCATAAAGTGCATTAACATTAATTAGGATTACGTGGTACTAGTGGTAGAGCCAAAAAATCGGACGAGAGGGCTAACTTAAATAGTGGTAATTGAGAGAGGAGTCTAAAGTATTATCGATTATTAATACATCAACCTCGCCTGTTTATGGCGGTTGTTGCGATATTTTGGAGAATCTGGCGATCACGAAATTAGGTTGTCTTTGAGGGCAAACTGTTGCAAATAAAATGTTTGTTTCCTTATAATTGAAACACTAATGGTGGGTTTTTGGTGGAGGAGCTCGTTTATGAGCTAGAAGAAAATAGGAAGGAGTTTTATTTGATTAGAGAAATGGGACAAGTGGAAGAATAGGTTGCAGAGAAAGAGAGCACTTAAGACAAGAGGAGCTTTTGCTTCTTTATATTTCTTTTTTGCTTTGCTCTACCCTCTGATTCGTACAACACAAGCCTATTTATAGGCCTCCAATCAAAAAATATCAAACCTATTAAGTATGGTAGTTGGAACCGACTTCCTCCTGTGTGGTTCCTATTTTTTTTCTTTTGTTTAATCACTCAACTTGCTCATTCTCTACACAGTTCTACACTTCTCCATACACTCAGACGTCTACTAGTCTCTAAGTGATTCTGATATTTTTATTTATTTAATTAAATTTTATTTTATTTCAACACTCCCCCTTAAAGTTTAAATAGTAGTAACTCCGAGTAGCGTCCTCATCTTGACGAACACGTCTGATATCTTGTATCAATGTGCTTACTGCGATCATGAAACACCGGATTCTTTGCTAGTGCCAGAGCATACTTGTTATCAACATAAATCTCAGTTGACTCTTCTTGTGTCATATCAACTCCTTCAGCAACTTTCTCGGCCATATAACATAACACGCATACGATGTTGCAGCAACATACTCAGCTTCACAAGTAGACAGTGTCACGATAGCTTGCTTCTTTGAACTTTATGTGAAAGCTGTATCTCCTAGAAAGAATATGAATACTGTAGTGCTCTTGCGATCATCCACGTCTCCTGGCCAATCTATCGCAGTATCCAACCAATTTGAAATTTTTTGACTTATTGTAAAACAGACCATGATCGATTGTACCTTTGATGTAGCGCAATATCCTCTTGGCAGCATTCCAGTGTGACATTGTTGGTGCCTCCATGTATCTGCTGACTAATCCAACTGTGTAGAGAATATGTGGTCTAGTACAAGTCAGATATCTCAAGCTTCCCACGAGAATTCTACACTCCGTTGAGTTGACCTTCTCTCCTTTTATAATCCTTGGATAACTTCAGTCCACACTCAGCTAGTGTGCTCACAGGATTGCAATTCTAAATCTTAAACTTCTTCAGGACCTCCTTTGCGAAGCCACTCTGTGAGATAAAAATTCCTTCCTCCTTTTGAGTTACTTCAATACCGAGATAATATGACATTAGTCCGATGTCTGTCATCTCGAACTCACGAACCATCATCTTCTTAAACTCTTTAAACATCTTAGGATCGTTGCTTGTGAAGATGAGATCATCTACATATAGACAAACCATCAATATTGCTCCCCCCTTGCACCTTGCAGTATAGTGCATGCTCATGCGGGCATTTACTAAACCCGTTCTGCTGAAAGTACTTCTCAATCCTGCTATTCCAAGCTCTTGGTGCTTGTTTCAGACCATAAAGTGCCTTTTTCAGCTTCAACACCTTATCTTCTTGACCTTCAATGATATATTCAGGGGGTTGCTCCACATAGATATCTTTCTCGAGATATCCATTCAGAAAAGCTGACTTCACATCCATCTGATGTATCTTCCATCCATTTTGAGCAGCGAGAGATATCACCATCCTGATACTCTCGATTCTTGCCACGGGAGCAAAAACTTCATTATAGTCAATGCCTGGTCTCTGACTATACCCTTTCGCCACCAATCTTGCTTTGTGTCTGACGACTTCTCCTTTAGCATTTTTCTTCGCTTTAAATACCCACTTCACATCGATGGGCTTCTGGTTCTCAGGTAGTGACACAAGCTCCCAAGTCTTGTTCTCAACAATTGCTCCAATTTCTTCATCCATGGCTCTTTTCCATTTTTCATCCTTCATGGCTTCTTCGACATCCACCGGTTCATTATCAATGAAATGGCAGTATAGTGTCAATTCATCACCTTCAATGGCTGTAGTTTCCTCATAAATATCATCAAGTCTTCTATACTTTTGTGGCCTTTCTCGGGGACTTTCACTAGATTCTCCTTCTGGGCTGGTAGGTTCTCTGTGACTGGGTGGACTTGTCACATGTACATCACCATCTGGTACTTCATCACTTTCATCCATAGTGAATGGATAAAAAGTGTAACTCTTCTTTGCTTCAGTAGTCCAGTCCCATGTTGCTTCTTCATCAACTACCACGTCTCTGCTGATGATCAACTTCTCTTCCACGAGATCAAACATCTTGTAACATTTTGAGTGTTCTGAGTATCCCAGGAATATGTACTTATTGCTTTTGTCATCCAACTTCTTCCTTTTCTTGATCCGGTACGTGCACATATCCGACACTTCTAAAGACTCGGAGGTGAGAAACTGTGGGTTTCCTCCCGCTCCATGCTTCTTGGGGCGTTTGATTCCAAACACTCTTTGTTGGTGACCTGTTCAGCAAGTAGATTGCACAATCAACAGCTTCAGCCCATAGCTCCTTTGGCAGGTTCTTGCTCTTCATCATGCTTCTCGCCATATTGAGGACAGTTCTGTTCTTCCTCTCAACGACCCCATTCTACTGTGGGAATCTTGGGACTGTGAGAAACCTGTGAATTCCTTGATATTCACATAACCTTATGAACTTCTTGAGCATAAATTCTCCATCTCTATCTGATCTCATTGCTTTGATGTAGCGGCCACTTTCATTCTCCACGGGCATCTTGAACTTTTTGAAAGCTTCAAATGTATCTGACTTTTGCTTCAAGAAGTAAACCCATGTCTTTCTACTGTAGTCATCAATGAACAATAGAAAATATTTGTTCTTTCCGAACGATGTTGGGGTAATCGGTCCACA